AATGAATGTAAAACTAATGTTCTCCCATGTAAACTATCACATAATTCACAATAAAACATTTAAGAAAAAAAAAGGAATCAATATATGAATTCTAAAAATAATACATTATGTATGTATTATAAAACTGACACAACATGTGGAAATGCAAACAGAAACCTGAGTACCAAGGTGCACTGCAGCACTTTGTACAATTCCTGAAAGGTAGAAGCATCCTAAATGTCCATTGATGGATGAATGGAAAAACAAAATTTGTCAGAAACACACAATAGACTATTACTCAGCCATAAAGATTAATGAAGTCTTGATAAATGATACAACATGTGAACTCTGGAAACATTATGTTGAGTGAAATAAATTAGTCACAAAAGGGCAAATACTGTATGTTGTTGTTGTTAAGTACCATGGAGTCGGTTCCGACTCATAGCGACCCTGTACAGGGTTTCCAAGGCTATAAATCTTTACGGGAGCAGAAAGCCCCATCTTTCTCCCATGGAACTGCTGATCTTGAGGTTAGCAGCCTGATTCATAACCTTATATGAAATTAGCTAATATATAGAAATCATAGCTTCTTAGTGGTTACCAGGGTTGGGGGACAGGGTGATTTTCTGCTTGATGGGCAATGAGTTTACACTACTGGTGGTAGAATAATTAGGAAAAGATAAGGCTATGGGTTGTACTACATGACGAATTCATGCCCCTAAATTGTGCATGTTGTTGTTAAGTATTGTCAGGCAGGTACCAACTCAGAGCAACCCTGCATAGGATTTCCAAGAAGCAGCTGGTGGATTTGAACTGCTGACCTTGAGGTTCGAAGTGCAGTGCTGAACCTACAGTGCCACATCAGGAGTCTAAGTTTTAAACTACTGAAACAGTGAGTGTTCTGTTGTATCCATTTGTATCAAAATAAAAATGATACAGAAAACAATATATTTACAAGGATATGTTATTAAGTTAAATGTGGAACTGTACAGATACCTCAAGGGTTTTCTTTTGAACGTAATAAAGCTGTTCACTAAAAATATTAGTTATCAGTAATACATTTTAAACTGCCAAAAGGAAAAAAAAATTTTTTTCTGTTTGCTGACCCTTGTCTCATGCCTCAATGTTTTTATTCAATATTCGGGGGATCATGGGGTGGTGGTGGTAAAATACTTGCTACCTGTAAAGGACTATGAACATGAATCACTTCATTTTACTTTCTTATTATGTATATATTGTCTTTATGCTATACTTTGTACAAACTTCAGTCATAAGCATATTTAAAATGCTTCATCTTTTCCAGAAATGTTTTACAATGAGTATCGTTTGAAAAGAAATTTAAAGCTTTCTGGAAAAACACTTGGGTTTAGAATACTTATTAAGTGGCAGAAAAGTCAAATCTACACATGCAAGCATTTTAATGTAGAGTAATATTTTAGATGAGGACTTAACACTTCCCCACATGAGATTGTTGTTAAGTGCCGTCAAGTCAGTTTCAACTCACAGTGATCCAGTATAGTGTTTCTAAGGGGTCACTGGTGGGTTTCAACTGCTGACCAGGAGGCCACATCAGGTAATTAAGTGAAATTAAGTTGATTGGCAAGAAAGCAAAGCCAAGTGAAGGCCAAGGTTTCAGGCAGGGTTCTGAACCAGTTTACATTGGTCTGACCTACTGCTGACACACTGCATCTCTACCCCAGCTATACTGAATTGGCAGCTTCATTTTAATGAGATTTCCAGGTGACTTTGATGTAAGTACACATAAAATGTAGACTCTGATTCAGTGTATCTGGGGTAGAAATACAAATTCTCAGAAGGGGGATGATGAAGCAGAATGAACTGGTTCAAAGCAAAAACATAAATCAGAAAAAGCTTTGGCCTTAAATGAGGAGGAGGACAGACTCCTTTTAAGGATGACTTTTATATCTAAGTTACAAATGGTACATATAAATACACTGTAAGATGAAGCTTATTTTTATTACCGTTGTTTAGAACCCTGCCAGTCTGAAACTCTCATACGTATGAGAAGCATTTACATAGTACATACAATGTGATAGTGTTGGGAATAAAACCATGAATATTAAAGCCCATGCTAGCGGCTCCTGTCTGACTAGTGCTGTAATTTAGGTAAGCACAGAGTACCATGAGAGCAGTAGGCTTGGCCGTGACAGACAGATAAAAATGATCACTCCTCATTTCTTTTGCTTTGCCTCTATGAATTCAATGCCCACTGCTTGTTATCTCTGAACTATAATTATATGAGCCATTATTCTACACACATAATATAAATAGGTTTCTTTCCCTATCTTGTGTCCAGAACAAGTGGATGAAGTACTCAAAACATCATGTCAAAGTTTATATTTACTAAATAAGGTGAAGGGGAAAAAAACAACAACCAACCCACAACCAGTACAAATTGTCCCTGACTCAATTGCAGCTTTTTATGTGCCACTTGCTATAATGATTTCTTGGTAAATGCAGGAAATACAAGGTCATTTGAAGAAAGCTAATCCCTATCTACTAGGCCTGCCCTGTAGTGTTGATTTCAACAGAAAGCACCTGTCTATAAGTGCTTACAACAAGAAAAATATTTGATTAAAAATTATTATACTAGTATTTATAAGAGAAGGCTTCAAAAAGTTCATGGGGAAAAAAATGAAAAGATAATAGACTTCCCACAAACTTTTCAAAGCCACTCATATGTACATAGGTCTAAATATATAACAATAACCAGATGATTCAAACAGCCAATCTGCTAATAAAATCTAAATTATCAAATGAATTTACTAGCATTTTGGCGATGCTCAACATGTATATTGAGCAAATAATGCTGCACTTGCAATATGTCAACATCAATCACTGTGCTTTGAGAATATTTTTCCCATGAAAAGGTGGAAATGTATGGTAAGAAGAATAAAAGGTTTTTTAAATGCAACGACGGATGTGTAATGAATGTATTAATAGGAAATGAATTATAATAAGTATCAAAGGATATGACGTAAAATTTCCTAACATCTCATCTTTTAATTATTTTAAAATTGCTATGGAACAGCACACACAACGGCGGGGATGGGGTGGGGGGGTTTAGGGGAAGGTGCAGGGAGGCGATGGCAGAGCACAGGGTAAGGGCAGACACATCATAGTTTAAGTGTTGGGGAGGGCAATACAAGAAGGGGGAGGAGGTGGAAGAACAAGGTAGATAGGGGAACACAGAGACAGGTTTGCGTGGGCTAAATGGGACAGAGGTAAACAGTGATGCATGCTCAACCTTGGAACAACAGGGTTCTGTGATACAGGGATCTAGGAATAGTTTGAAGAGGGGAAATACTACTAAGATGCTTGACTGTCTTATGAATATTGGTTTCCCTTGCCTGCTATTGTAAAACAGACACTTGAGAGGGATAGAAAGGAATGTCGGGAAACATGATTACAGAAAACATTGTACCTTCTATACAAAAGGCTGACAGGACTTTGTCTCAACCAGAACTGCGGAAGCCCAGTTCCCCTGTCATAAGACCACTGATAATTTTGAATTTGATGCTTGTAAACATCACTTCTAAAATAAAGTATAAACACAGAACATAAAACCTAACTTTTGACAAGACAGGCTTCTGCTTGAGAATGGAACATTTAATATAAATACCATCTCATACAAAAGAAGTGCAAACTAGGGCTTATATCCCCTTTTTAAAAAAAAAAAAAAAAAAGAGAAAACACATTAGGTAGTTTCTACCATAGGTTTCTAGGAAAACTATAGGCAACTGGTCACTGAGTGACTTATGGCAATAGGCAAAGGCCTGCAGCCAGCCTCACTCTGGGGAGCCACAGGCACACCGGCTCTTACCTGTTTGTATTCAGATTCTCTTCCAACCAGTACCTGCAGAACATAGCTGACAGGATCACCTTTCATTGGTGGTACCGTCTCCCAAAGAATTTCACAGGAATTTCCTTCTAACTGTGTCACTCGAGGCGCTGAAATATAAATTCACATACGCAAGCTCAAATTTTAAAGTATCATGCAAAGCATGAATATTTTAATATCATAAAGTGGGAACTCAGAATGAGAGAGAGTACACCTGTGTCTGTCCTGAGAAGAGGAGTTTATTTGCTGAGGTTCCCAGAGAGCTGGGAGTGCTAGTTAGACACAGAAAAGATACTCTGTGACAAGCAAGCCATTGATGAAAACGCCTTTGCTAACTATCTTACTAAATAAAAAATGGATCACAGTTCTGTAATTTGTCTATGGCTATTCAGCACCTGTGTCAGGTACACTGGGGAACGGCAAAAAAGTTTTCACACAATTTAAATTAGTTGACAGATGGGGACAGCAAGACATGAGACTACTACAAAAAAACAGCTTAATGTACATTAAAATGAGATGTTTAAACAAAATGCTAGGGAATTCAAGAAGAGGAGAGAACACTCTGAGTTGAGTCTAAAAACTGCTTTAGGAACAGACGACTTTTGAAATAAGTTCGAGAAAACGGGCAGCATTTATCATCTTTTTAAATGTCAAGCATCATATACTTGCATTTTTAGATTATTTGATTTCATAATTACATAAAGAAGTCCTGTTGTGGTACTGCAGGGTAAGCATTGGACTGCTAAGTGAATGGTGGGCGGTTCAAACCAACCAACCATTTCTTGGAAACCTCATACAGAGTTGCTATAAGTCGGAATGGACTTGACAGGACTTAGCAACAACAAAAACTCTCTCTATAAAATTACTTAGAGACAGTTGTTTCTACTTGTAGGATACTACATCTCTGTAGGATGCTAATGCCAGAAAAATACAAGTTTTTCATAAAAAGAAAAAAAAAATCTGTCTGTTGGAATCACTTCGTCAAAACTCCAAACAATTTATGGAAAAACTAAATAAGGAATCTTGTCAGACTAAACAGGACTCCAGCTAGGACAGTAATTTCCTGAATGTAAGACCTAGAGGAAGACAACCAGATACTGTGGAAGTGTATGAACACTGTCCTTCTGAAAGTACTCTTAGTGGTGTCTAATAATCATATGATGGATCTATACCAAAAACCACTCTGAGAGACGTCAGGGCTCCTCAATACCAGAAAGACCCTTGAAGTTTGCTGATTGGTAAATATGTTGACCCTTTCTTATTACCAACAAACAAAGCAACCATGGTGTATTCTGGACTCTTTCCTGATATACCCGAAACCTGAAGCTGCATCCCAAGGCCAGGGCACCCACTGCCATAGTGAGTCAGTAAGGCCAAGTTTGTGGAAACATTCCATTTTCATTTGATTCATTTTTCCACACACTTTTCTAAGCCCCCTCGTACGTACATCTGTACTAGTTTCTTAGTCACACAGAGAAGTGAGTTGCAAATACAAGCTATATTCCAATTACAGTTTTCTTGCATGTATTTATCATGTGATCTAAGCTGTCTTGTTACTCAATCTACGGTCCAGGGGCTAGCAACATCAGGATCACCTGGGAGCTGGTTAAAACTGAACCCGGAATGGAGGGTCAGGGAAGCACAGTGAGAAAGAATTTACCATAATTTTTCTACAGAAAATCGTTACAGACTCCAAGCCGACCTGACTCAGGTCCTGGAGGTCTTTCACCCTCCTTTAATAGACTCTGCTGTCCCAGTGGTAGTGGACTTAGCACCTTCATGTGGAAGCAATGAGTCCAGTAGCCTTGTTCCTGAAGTCAAACACATTTAGGACCTTTTCTACAGTGGAATGGACCCATTCCACTATCCACTCAAATATAGCAAACTTGCACTTTTACCGCAGTTCAGGTGGACGGCTTGTCTGCCTGTCAGCCACAGGGTTATTTTGAGCAGCAGCTGGATGGAACTACTGTTGCCACTTGCTTATCCCAAGACATGCAGAAGTCACCCCTACATAAACCATGAGATCTGGAGGGAAGTAGGGAAGGGTACAGCCTCAGGAATCTATGAGGGAACTGGTCCACAGGTCTAAAGCTGGGTGAGATGTGCCAAGTACACTTTGAGCCGCTGTTGAAGGCTCTGCCTTGTCAGTCTGCTGCATTGAAAGCCAGTGTCTGACTCCGTGGAAGCAGATGGGGGCATAAGGACTCAGCAGATCTGGTAAAAGTTAGGTCTTGGCAGAGTGGCTTTTGTTCACTTCCCAGAGAAAGAAGGGAGAAGATTTCAAGTCTCATGTCTTTTGCATGACCTGCTCCCATGAAGGATGCAGAACAGTAAAACTAGTCACTCACACACTGTAGCTTTTTAAAGGCTTTTGTCCATAGCTGCAGAGCCGTTGGCTAGGGAGAGGTGGTGAGTGAAGCTGACTAAGTCAATCCTCAATTTCCAGGCACTGGTATCATCCAAAGACAGATGGCAATCTCTGCTCCATGTAAAGCCTTTGGAAAAGATGATGCTCAAAGCTCAAATCTGCCTTAAACAGCTGTTAGTGCGAACCTCAGGAATTCACCCTCATTTCAAAACCAAAGCTCTGTCACTCAGGTCTGTTGTTTTTGTGCATCTATGCAAATCTCCCATGGGGACAAGTATAAATGAACATGACAATATTTGTAACAACTATTCATACACAACTGAGAAAAGAAGATTGGCAGGACCTCTTCATTAAGTCCTTTCATTTCCCCAGAAACCCCATTTTCCAACCTTCCTTTTAAAATGTTTTGATTCTCTCTTGCTGATATTATAGATAGTTGAAGAGTGTCTTAATTGAGTCTCATACATCTCAATAATTCCCTGACTGTCAAACCAAATGCGGGAGAACACACTGTTTACGCACCTTTGATGGCTGGGGGGACACTTTTGGTGGTGCTGAAGGTGTAGGTTTCTGAGAAGGGCCCTTCACCAGCATCACTTGCTGCCTGGATTCTAAAGGAGTAGCATGTGAACTCCGTCAGCCTCTGGACCTTGTAAGTGTGGCTGGGTCCTCTGTAGATTGAAATAAACCTAAACGAAGAAGCAGAATCCATGAGCCATGGGCACTATTGACAACGACAAGGAATGAATTATGATGCAAGCTTGTGGAGCAGATTAGGCCAACTTGGTAAACATTTCTCCTCCAGTGGAATTAATCCACCAGTTGCTAGGTTATGGTTAAGTTTCAGTGTCTATTTTCATGTTTACTTAAAACAACAACAAAAAACCCAAAACAAAAACACAGACAAACTTGAAGCACATACAAAGCTTGGAATGTGATTCCTTTCATTGTGACCTGGCTTAATATTTTTATTTACTAATAAAAAACAGACTTTTCAAATCTTTCATAAGGGTGCTATCATCTACATAACCTGATAGTACTAACGTACCTGTTGCTACTGTGTGTTAGGCAATGAAGTTACTGTTAATTAGGCACCTGACAAAATGTTCTCTACCTACATTTTCTAAAGAACTAAGGTTTGCCAAAAAATTTTAATTTTAACCTTTATCAATCTCTTAAAAAGGATTTTAAAGACTCTTTCCTAAACTTTTAAGAAATATTGTTATGAATATTTGAGGGAAAGATAACTACTCAGAAATCAACTATCCAGTTAATCAAAATAACCGGAAAACAGCATAGGTGGGCAGGACCACTTAGACTAGAGGCTTCTAGTGTTTGTTTCCATCTGACCCCAAACTATTTTACATGTCTCTGATTAATAATATTTCACTGTGGAATATGAAAGAAAGCATCAAAACAAAAAAATATGGTCCTGTATTTCAGGATTTTTCTCCTACAGTCTTGAAAATTAACATTTTCACAATGATACTAGATTACTTATTTGCCTTATGTTGTTGTTGTTACTAAGTGCTATTGGGTCACTTCTGATTTATAGCAACCCTGTAGAGGGTTTCTGAGGAGCAACTGGTGCATTCTTATACTTTACTATAAAATTTTAGAAGTAACGTAACCTTCCATAAGTTATCCAGGATCTGCAGTAAATTCAGGATTTGAAGCCTGCGAGAATCACTGATTTAGTCAAGACACCCACACTACTTCGTTCCTATATATGCCAACCAATTCTCCTAGTTTCCAGGGCTGTGTGTGGTACTATAGGATAAGCACTGTAACTGCAAGGTCAGCAGTTCAAACCCACCAGTCACTCTTGGAGACACTCTATAGGTCACTACGAGTTGGAACCAATTCAATGGCACATAACACCACCAATACCTTGTTCCTACAAAGACTAACCAATTCTCCCTGTTTCCAGGGCTATGTTACAACATCTGTGGACAATCCAGTGTCTTCAGCTAACCAGAAGTCAGATACTGATGTAACCATAATTCAAAATGTCTGATTCACTAACCAATTTGGCCTAAGGGATAAGCAGAATTTATGCATTCTGCTTAGTAAACATTTACTGAACATCTGCTATGTGCTAGGCATTGTGTATTCAAAGACGATAAAGCCTGGTAGGCCAGCTAATTTTGTGTGTGGGCAGGGCATTCTGAAGGAGAGTAAGTTTTATCAAGTGCTGGAGAATGTTCCACTGCAGATCTTCATGCATGTATGAGATCTGCTACAATTCTCTGCCCCTTCTCAGTTCTGCTGGCCCGCTTTTTTATCCTGCCCCGAACCACTGTTGTCTTTCTTTGATGCCAAAAAAGTTTTAAAACAAGTTTATTGCTTAGGATGAGGAGTAAAGTGAAACAGATTTTCTTCTATAAATCTTGAAACAACTTCACTTACAAAACCATCAGTCCACTACTTATTTAAAATATACATGTGTTCAGCACCAGTTTTTACACTCAGGTTCATCAGCCCAGTCATTTCACCTATTTAATGTTCCTTTTGCTTTTCTGCATAAGGAAACAGCTTTTACTAGAGGCTGGACATTTTAATGTCAGGGAAAACCAGGTTGAAACCCATAAATACCATGGCAACCTATTTAGTGCTTTTGACACATAACGACCTTAATGAAGACACCCTTGCTAATGTCAGAGGCAAACAGCTATTTATTAACTCAGCCTCACCTGGCTTACAATCTAAAGGGAGTAATTACCCTTAATTAGACCATAAAATTGAAGTCCTGGTTTAAGAAGTAGAAGTGTTAAGCTTCATTAGCAGCTTGTAATAAAGCTTAGTTTTTAAAGGAGCTTGGAGATGACAACTAGGACCAGTATCTGTCTCTCTCTCATGCCACCTTCTAAGGAAAGTATTTTCTTTTGCAAAAAAAGTTGCCCAGATTTAATGATATGTGTGGCAGAAACACACACAGTAGCAAAAAAAAAAAAAAAAAAAAACCGTACTGAAGCAGATTCAGTATCCTAACTTGGAGTATAATCTAAACTCAGCAAGTAGCACACATGTTGTTGGTTAGGAGCTGTTGAGTTGGTTTTGACTCATATGCACAACAGAATGAAACACTGCCGGGTTCCGCGAAACATTCACAATCATTGTTATGCTTGAGCCCATTGCTGCTGCCACAAAATCTGAGAGACAGTCTACATCACCTTTGGTTAACATGTTTGTTTTATTATCCTTTGCTGGGTAGAAAGTCAGGCACATGCCAAGAGCCAACCCGAGAGCAGGCCCTGGCACTGTTAGACTCCACTGTGGGATTTCTTCAGTGACGCTGCCTAGTACCCACTCTCACACTGTATCCTGTCAGCAAAGTGCAGTGGGGTGGGGATTAAATTTGGTGACATGTGTAAAAGCCCCAGTCCTTGATACAGAGTGTTGTTATTCAGTGCCATTGAGTCAGTTCCGACCCATAGTGACCCTGTATAGGGTTTCCAAGGAGCAACTGGTGAGCTTGAACCACTGACCGTGTAGTTCAAATGGCTTTGCAGTCTGGTAAATTAACCCACAGTGCCACACCAGGACTCCTGATATAATTGTTGTTGTTGTTGTGTGCCGTGGAGTTGGTTCCGACTCATAGCAACCCTGTACAGGGTTTCTGAGGCTGTAAGTCTTTACGGGAGCAGAAAGCCTCATCTTTCTTCTGCGGAACAGCTGGTAGTTTTGAACTGAGTAGGTCTCAAAAAATGTCTAAATCCTACATTACTTCTGATTGCTGCTGTTAAGTGCAGTTGAGTCGGTGCTGACTCATAGTGGCCCAGTGTAGGGTTTCTGAGGAGAGACTGGTGGGGCTTTGACCTGCTGACCTTGCAGTTAGCAATCCAGTGATTATCCTACAGTGCTACACGAGTACATTCCTTCTGGTTTGTTGTTACTAACTGCTGTCTAGTCAGTTCTGACTCATAGAGACCCTGTTTAGGGCTTCCAAGGAGCAGTTGGTGGGTTTGAACTGCCAACCTTGTGATTCGCAGTCCAGTGCTGATCCTACAGCGCCACACCAGGAGTCCTTCTGGTAAGCTGTAGAATAAAATGAATGTGCTGACAGTAACTTCTGCTTCTCTCTGTGCTTCCAATAACAAGAACACCAACCAAAACATAATAAAAAGCACATAATCCAGTGCCAAAAGAATGTCATTTTTCTCTCACCCAAATTCTATAACTATTTTTCACCATTTCAAGAAACAGAAGAAGAAATCATCTTTCTTTAGAACCCATGACATATGGCCAGTTGCATAGTGGTCTCTCTGGGAGGCTCCTGTGGGTTAATGCTAATACTCCCTGTGGTACAACTGCTCTGTGAGAGATTAAAAATATTTATCAAATATTTGTTTTACAAAAATCAACTGAATTTTTCTTTCTCCTAAATCTCTTTTTAAAAGACCATCTTAATTTTGAAATTCATTAGTAAATAAGCCAGAGGCCTTCTGTGATTGAATTAAACATCAAAACACTCCAAGACACAGTGACTACATGATGGAGATCCCACACTTTAACCGGATGCAACCACAGATTCTGAGTTTACAGCAGGCGTGTGTGAAGAGCCAGGATATCACCCACTCAGCTTTGCCAACTCCCGTGCCCCTTTGTATTTAGAGCACCCAGAGCCACTTCAGCACCCCACATTTATGTACCAGAGACCCAAAAACAAGGAATCACAGCCACGCAGAAGGGGTCCTGTTGCCTTGAGTGCCATGATCCACACAACTTCAACGTGTACTGTCCCAAGCCCTGGGGAAGGGGGAAGACTGTTCTCTTCAGAGAAGAGAAAGAAAGCAGTAGTGAGCAGGAATGACCAGGAGAAGGTGAACACACAACAAACCACTGCAAGAATGCCAAGACCCCAATACATAGGCTTCAGAGGGTGAGCATGGTCCAGAAAACAAGGGACGCACTATGTGGGGTGCTACTCCAGTTCCATGCGGATTTATGCTGTCTGGTGATGAGGAACCACATTTCACTCTCTGTACTTCCACACTGCTGTGGGGAGGTAGTGGAGCTCAGAGACTCAAAGTCTAGTCTCAGCTCCGCCCCTGACTGCCAAGTCACTCACTTCTGCAAAGTGTCAGCTCCTCCCATATGCTGAAAGAGTCAAATGAAACAACATGGGTAAAATACTCAGCAATGGGTCCAATGCACAGTAAGAGTGCAAGAGATGGCAATTTTTAGTGCTCATTGTGGCTCTCAGCTCCTGCCACCCAGGTGTTATTACCAGTTATGATCCAGCAGGAATAGGTCAACCTGGATTTGTGATGTCCTGCTGCCTGTACCCGACATTTAACTCTCCCCCATCAGTTACCAAACTAATTTGGTGGTAAAGCAGTAGTAGTGAAATTTCTGTTAATTTTCAGTGCATGAATCCTCCTACACTGACAAGAACAAGAATGAAAAAATAATCAGGGGGCGGAGCCTGGAATGTACTATGTTGCTCAATTAAGTCACCGAGCAATTTTTTTAAGATCACTTTATGCAGAGGTCCACAGAGTCACAGGATTCCCAGTAGGATCATTAGCTCCTTAAAGACAGTGCAGGAGCTCTGGTCCCACACCGGCCATGTCTGTAAGGGGTCTTCTGTAGCACCCACAACCACTGCTGCCTGAGTCCATGTACCTTCCCAAGGAGGCTAGAAACTACAATTTAGATCTTGTAATGATGACACAGTGGTGCTGTA